CAGATGGAAGCGCTCCTGGCTCGTTCTTCAAAACTGAACCGACTGACGGTGCTGAACAACAAGCTGGTGTGAGTTTTCTTTGGCGGCTACTTGGGAATTTCCATTCGTTCTCAATTAGTCTTGAAATGATTTGATATCACCCTACACCACAAAAGCCGCAAGCTGAGAGGGTAAGAACTGTCCTGGTGGCACAACGGATAGCGCTTCGAATCCCGCCTAGCGTCATGACTTTTGCCCATATCTCAGCTTTATTGCCCTGCTTTACACTTGCTTTAGTGTGGTTCTCTGCATTGAGTCACAGTTACTTTTTTCTCTAAGTATCGCCCACTCTTCGGTTCATATCTTCGCCCACTTTGTTTACGGTCACTACTGCCTTTTCATATCCCTCATAATACCCTCAAAATGCGTATCGGACCGGCTCTTTTCCTTGTAGTGGTCATCTTCCGTACTGCTAAATTTATTCAGGAAAACTTCAAAGGGTGGTTCAGTGAGAAAAGGCTTGCTTACCACGTGCGCACTCCGCAGTCAAATTTCTTATGGTCTTTCATCCATGCGAGCTAGGCTTTCTTCCCTCCTTCAATGTGCCACCGTGATGGGGGCCATATGCAACTGTTGCGCCGAAAAGCGACTCATGAACGGCGTTGATAAATCTCAAAATCTGCAAATTCCTTAACAGACGAACCATCGAGCATGATCGGGTTCGCACTGCTGAGTACCTGTGTGCTGTTGGCCTTCATCGTCTGGTTTCTCGTTCGTATGCTATATTTCCGTCTCAGGATATCTTTCACGGCGGAGCCCGCCTCTCCATCCTTTTTTCATCGTCCCTCCTTTCCCCACCCTCTTTCTTCCTCCTCTCTTTTGCTTTCATCCTTTCGGATGCTCAGCAGGAGATCCAGCGAGGAAATGCTCTCGGACCTTCCCGGCAAGGAAATACCCGATTGACAGGTGCCCTGTGACCGCTCTGTTTTGCGATGCACTCGTTCACCGCTGAATATCAATTGCAGAAGGTTCTTTTTCAGGCAGGTTCTCTCTGGTTTCCTTCAACTTTGCTTTGCTGGCGCGCCACTCAACACCTTTCCTTGCATTTTTGTATCAAACTGTCCCAACCTGTTGTCAACCTGTCCCGCCCTGCCTTTTCAGGCCGAGCTCACGCACGAGGATGACTTAATTTGAAGTGTGTTCTTGGGAATAGTATAATTTCAGGGACAGTTACCATGGAGTCGTGCTCCACAGTCCGCTCACGACAAATATGTGACACAAAAGGCCGAAGAGATAGCTCAGGTGATTATTTTACTGTGTATCCTCAAAGGAGAAGCTATCAATAGTGGTCTTGAGTGAAGCTCAGTAGATCCTGAGCGATTTGACCAAATGAGTCAATAGATTCGCATTGTCGCGTTCACACTTCGCGATAGAGCAGCGACTGACCGCGCTTCACCACTGGTCGTGGGATCGCTGCCAAATTCGCAATAACTTTGTCTTTACTGTGATTAGCAGTCCCACGATGAGCGGTAGAGTGTGGTTAGCAAATCTCGCGGCTGAAGCTCGAGCCGTGAAGGATGGCGCGGCCTGAAACATTGGTCGACGTCTTTCTTCCAGCTGTTCTCACCTTGATAGTTTTTTTTCCAGTCCGAGTCTGTTGACCTAAAAGCAGAAATACACGGTGGTTGGACCATGGAGAACAGTAAGAAGGCCCTGAACGAGTTTCTGCAGAAAACGAAGCAACCTGCTATCAATTACAATACCCAACTAAAGGAAGCGAACAATTGCCGGTGGGCCTCTCCACCACATTTTCGGTTTAATCAACGCGAAATCTTAATCGTTTTCAAGGCTTGAAGCTCTGGTGCTTGTATTTCCATTGAATTTTTCAGAACATATGTTGCTGAAGCGACAATTTTCGTGGCGCAGCTTCGAAGAAGTAAGTTCTAGGTTCTTCCTCACTGCTTGATTTCTTCATAAAGGTGCTATTAAGCTCATAAGATGTATTTGAAAAACTGCTTGTGCAAAATTAAATTCGCTGTAGAGAAGGTAAGGACTTTTGCTTGGAAGACGGACAAAACAATTGTAATTGATCACGTCGCCACGCGCGACGTGTCGCTACACAAGTTCTTGGTGTGATCTGTCGATTAGAGCAGCGGACTCATATGGATTGAAGCGGAAGCGAGATCCCTTGCCAGGCGATATCGTATTTTACCGTCCCTCACCCTGAAATTCGAATGGGCTAGGCAGCACAACTCGTCTGTCGGGAACGTCGTCGCTCGCCACGCCCACCACCACTGCGTATTGCGAATGTCTTGTCACATGTCCTTCTTGCCTAAGCCTAAATGGCGAAAGATCTCCGAGATGGTGAACCATTTTCAACTACGCTAATTCTGTCCAGATGATGCAAATCCTAGTTTTTCCCAAGGAGACCTTTAAATATTCTACCCGGAGATACTAGCGTCTTTATAACTTCTTTTTTGTTATGCTTTAATGTCCGAGGCAAAAGTAGTTCGGAGGTGCAGCACGACTGTGCTACGTGATATCTTATCTGGCTTTGTCTTGCCACCTCTGTTCGAAACAAAATTACCTTCCGTCAGGTGTGAGGACTCCGACGTCGTATGCCACCCCTGAACTACCCTTAGCCAGCTTTTCTTGAGTTAGACAATGTTAGTGATTATTAATGCTTGAAAATCTGCTCTTTAGCCATATCCGGTCGAGGTCAGGGATCGTCAAAAAAGGTCGCGGAGTGTGGATGTTCCATGGGTATAGTTCGCCAATTGTTTCATCTTGGTATATTGGCAGAGTACAAAGGAGAACGCAAGAAAACGGCTGCTTCGACGGTAAGAACCCATAGATTGATTTGTATTGTGTTGTAGTAAAGCTTTTATTCCTCTTTTACATCATCTTCTTTTTCAGCTTCCTGAAATTCCAATTACTATACCACCTGAGCTGGCTGAACGAGTGAAGAACTATGTAACGACTTCGGGTGTTGACCCTGTTGAAATTGGTCCCACAGAAAGTATAACACCAGAAGCGCCGAAATCTATACTGACTAATTGCAAGTTGGACCAGTTCCCTGACTCACAGGTGTGATTACTGTAAATCTTGCGAGTTTCGTGTTTTCCTTGAAAAGATCATGCTATAGGTAACACCACCAGGCAATATTTCCTGGGCACCTCCTATGCAGAATTGGAATCCTTGGCGAGCTAGCAATATCGACGAGCCGCCACTGGCTTTTGTGAGTTAAATAACATTATTGTAAAACTTTGTTGGCCACAACAGTAGGATATTTGCAGATGTCTCTCCCTGATATAAGTGCGAAACTACGAGAAATGGAGGAATCTAAGCCGCCGAGACCAAGTATGAAAGCCTCCAGAGAAGGCTTGCCCGTGTCGCAATTCAGAGAGCGAATATTGCGTACAATAGAACAGAATCGGGTCACACTTATAAAGGGAGAAACTGGATGTGGAAAAAGCACGCAGGTAAGGAAAGCGATGTGCATATGAGCCTCAGCCTGTGCCTATTAAATTGATTGGGCTTTCAGGTTGTGCAATATTTGCAAGAGCATTTCCTCCTAAGTGGACGCGGAGCTGAATTTAACGCTTTCGTATCGCAGCCAAGAAGAATATCGGCAATCTCTCTAGCCGAGCGCGTGGCAGCGGAGAGAGGAGAGGAGTTGGGAGATTCTGTTGGCTATGCTGTCAGGTAATTCGCTTCTCCATCCTATCCCATTTTCTCTCGTCCCAAAGTAGGAGCTTTCAAATGTGTTT